TGCATTCGGATCCAAAGTAGAGTGCCAGGCTTCAAGGAAAAGTCTCTCGTGGTAATTAGTTTCGAAACCAACGACCCTGACGTTTGTGAAATCCATGTTATGGTCGAAAAGGTGGACATGGCTTGCGACTTTGGAGTTTAAGTCAAAACCTGCAACTGCCTTTTTGTGCTCCGCAATTCTGGTCTTTAATGATCTTTCTGTTTGGCCATAGTACTTAAAATTACACTGTGTGCAATTGATTTTGTACACCATGCCTGACTTCTGGCGGTCAGGTTCGTCTAGCTCCTTGGGGCGTGGAAAAAGGCTGTTAATTGTTTGTTGTGGTTTGTAGGCTACTTTGACCTTTTGTTGTTTCAAAATGCGACTTATTGTCTCGGAAACACCCTGTACATACGGCAGCACTACAAAGCCATTGAAGTTGGTCTGGACGGGTTGTTTAAATAACACTCTCTCACCATATGCTCTCACCGTTCCGTATAAAAGGCATTGGATAATTGTTATCTCGCAGAACGGCCTTTACTCGTTGTATTTCTTCCCGTCTAGTCTGCCTTTATTGGTAGATGGAATGTTGTTTGCTCTTTTTAGTAAGGTGAAAATGCTCACGAATTCGTGTACAAATGTGGCGAGTGGTCTCACCAAACTGGCATTATAGCCAGCACACGAAAATTTATAAACGACACGCGAACGTAGACCGAGCGGTACTGAATCTTTCACACTGAACATGTTGAGTTCAAGTTGAACGTACTGAAGACTAACATAACATCTAAATCAGTTCTACAATAACTTTTGAGTAGTTGTCTTAACTTAGTCTGAGCGAACCAGCTACGTACGATCGCTTCTGACATTCGATAACAAACGTTGCAAATTCTTATTGAAAGTCAAGATACATACAAAGCCGAAGAGGTCGATAAGCAGAATGCCCGTGCGCAGGTTACAGCCACAACGTAGCTGGTTGTTTCTTGGTAAGTTCTAGGAGCGCAGCTGCAAACGGAATCTAATGGAAACAGCGGGGGATTACAGGGAAACCGCCTTCTCAACTTGCATTTCATTTGCGTAGTTTAGAAAAAAGAGTGGCTCCTTTTCGTAACTATCATTGCGTCGAACGCGGCGACGTAAACTTGCGATCAGGGTCCCCAAGTCTTCTTTAGATCATAAAATTAGCGTGAAGCTAAAGGGCCGGAAATGGACCTTTAATTTTAAAGTTACTAAATTAGGAGCTACATCTAAGGAACCTCGTAGAAGAGTGAACATTAACAAGTTAAAAAAAAAAAAAGCTCATTCTGCTTTGAGGTTTTTCTTAAAACATGGCAAGCGAGATATCTAGTTCTTCTTTTTCCTCTCCTTGATTCCAATCAACTTTGTAGATGCCATTCGAAATTTTCATTGCAGCCCTTTGATACCTGGAAAAATAGGTGCCAATCGCAGTTTTGCTGTAAAGGCTGATCCTACACGAGTTTCATGTTCTCTGAGCTCGTGCCCTTTGATCAGTGAAGAATTTACAATCTAGACAAAAAACTTTTTTCTAAAACTACTTTCTGAAACTACTCAAACGTACCTTCTTCATCAGTTAATAATACGGCACGTTCCATTTATTCGTCACTGACAAATTTACGGCATGCATGACAAATCATCCTGACCAAAATATCGTGCCCAGATAAATGCCGTAAAGAATAGTTGTCAGGTAGAAAAATATTTGATAAAGTCAAGAAAATGGCATTGGTAGAAAATGAAGAACATAGCATCGAGGAAACAAATCTTCTGAGTTATTATGCCCGGGGGGGGAGGGGGGGAGGGAATTGCAACTTGTTCTGTCAAAGAACAAGAACGGTTCTTAGCTGTCGGCCTGAAAAATGAAAAACTGCCTCGGAAAACAAGTAAAGTGACATTTTTGAATCCATGTTCACAGAACAAAATAATTTGGATATATCAACAAAGTTGAAATGGTAAATTGGCCACCGTAACGATTACAAAAGCTGACGTTTCGAGCGTTAGCCCTTCGTCGGAGCGAATAGAGAACAAAGTCAGAAATAAAACATAAAGGAAAAGACGATTAACAGGAAAATTCTTCAAAACTTACGGCTTCAAACATTCTTCCATGTGTCTACATGAGTAAATTAGTTCACACGAAGCGTTTAAAAAAACTGAGTTGCGATTCAAATTTTTTTCAATATTTAGTTTATGAAAACCAAGAACACTTGTGCCTAAGCGTTATATATTGATTTCAAACAGAAAATTAACGAAAAACCCATTTGATTGCAGGTTGATACTCAATGGTCTGGTGAGGAGTGACTGGGTATTTATTCGTTGGGAATATTAACTTTATATAGATTGACATGCGGTCAGCGAATATCTGCTGGGTCAACCGGCCAATCAATTTAAACATACTGAATTTTTAACCAGGATCCCTCCATATTTAATAAATCTGGTAAATGTTAGGACTTAAACCTAATTAGATTAAAGAGAAACGGAGAACTTTTTTCCTCATTTGTCCCAGCCGGATGTGACCTTAAGGCTCAGTAAATAGGTAACTTCGGAACATCGAAGCTGTTGGTTCCAAAATTTTAGAATAGTGTGTTGCGATATGAAAAAAAACATCACTCGCAGACTCACCGGCGCCTAATGTAAATTGGAAATCAAATGTGAAGGACAAAGGAGTAGTTGACAAGGTTTTAAAACGCCAGACGAATGAGTGATCGGAAACTTAAAAGCGCCCTGAGGCCCGAGGGCACACTTTCTATCGTGTCTCTTGTAATACACAATAATGAGCTTTTTAGTATACGCTTTATGTTTGCAAAAATGTTACGCTAAAGTGCATCTGTAGACAAAGCAAAATGCACTTTACGCCAACTTGGAGACTTTTAAAAGATAAACATAAGCTGATTATCAACGAATCGTATTCGGTTACTCCGCCAAGGGGCGTTTCAACCCCACTTCCACTCGCCGAAAAGGAATATTTTAAAACGCTAATTAAAAAATATTCCGTCAAAGTTTGTTTTTTCCAAGTTTGCCCGTCTTGTTTTTCAATAACACCGTCTGAGCTTAACGTCACTCAAAATCCTAATTTTCGCTTTTAGTTCCTTTACCATCAAAACTACTTATATAACCTTTCAAACAGACCAGTTTTCATCCGGTCTCATTCGAATAAATTTAAAATTTCAGGGGACAAAGCTGTAACATTTGATACTTGTCAGAGAATTTTCCGACAATTTGTGAGTGTTTCGTCGCAAACTTTGACAGCGTTGACAGTTTCAGCTAGTTGCTATGCCAACCTATCCGATGTCTCCCGGCTCAGGCGACCGCCTTTATGCTCGTTGTTGACTCAGGAGATAAAGCTAAGGAAGTTTGGCAAAGCAAGATGGGCTGGCAGTGCTAATGGACTAAATAGCCAAAATATTTCAATGTAAATGAACGGAAATTTTTGGCTTTGTCTCCTTGTTTGACAAAGCAGCCAATGACATGAAAGTGACAGAGTGAATTTGACCTTTGTGTCAGTCAGTAGAATCATGTTTTTAGTGCTAGCGCTAATCCCATAATAATCCATTCTCGCTTGGCCACAGTTCACATGCGCTCCTTTGTTTTAGCAAATTTCGGTGGATCTTTAGGCGGGTTGTAGCGTTGGGAGAGTTGTGCATATAATGGCTATGCCTTGAAGCGAGAACGAGATGCGATTTCCAGCGTCTAAATGTCTGTTTTGGGGATTTTGTCTCTGGATTTTTTCTGGTAAGTCGAAATTGGCCGTGGATGTACTGTACGCGCTAGAATCGTGTTTGTTTGATTTTCTTCCTTCGTCAATTTACAATGCAATTACAGCAGACTGAATATTTCAGCACCTATTCTGAAAGAACTGCATTGCTGGTTTATAAAGTCGCTTTTTGGCATCCAGTTAGTATTTAGATGGAAGGATTTATAGAATAGTACAGTCAAAATTATTCTTAGTCCTCTGTTTATCACTTCAAGATTCAAGATCAGTTCTTCTACGCGAGCGGAAAGCACATCTGTTCTGGCGATCATTCTTCATGTCACCAATATCGTCTTCCTCTTTCATGCTTTGTAGGAAAGTTTCTCTCGGGATTCCAACACAAGCGATCGCTTGATTCTCCGAGGTAAGCTTTAAGAAGTGCAGGCCGTTGTTTTGCTTTTATATTAGTTCTCTGTTTGCTTGTTTAATGTAAAAAATAATTAGATATGACGTGGTATGCGACTCTGGTGAATGCACCATGCAAATTTCGCTTTGTGTCTAGTGAGTTTGCTGAGAGAAACTATTCAGAGCACGTTTTTGTAACAGGTTTTCACGCTGGTGGTTATCACACTGAATGTTTTGTTCCATTGATACGTCTTCGTTAATTGAAATTTTTACAAATTTCCATTCCTTTGGTCGCGTTCCTATCGCATTTCTTTCGCTCGTGCAGAGAACTAGCGGCGATGCTTTGAAACCTAATCGTGTCTTAGAATTCGCTAGGGGCCAGGTGGGCTTATGCTATGATTGAGAAAGTTCAGACGGTCTGTTTGAAATCTTAGATAACTTCAGTAATGGAGCCCGATGGAGAGACTCAAACAACAGCGAAAGAAACTGCATTGAGACTGGATACCGCTTGTGTTGTTTTCGAAGTTGTTCATTTCGCATTGTTTTCGTTGATGGATTCCCTTTTCGTTTTATTCTCTTCTAATTGGCAGTGGATAATCCGGCTAATATATATTTTTCCATTTTGTTTTGACCTCAATAAATTAGAAGGTCAGAACAGTGGTAGAAATTGTTATTCCACCTGAATCAAATTTAGAAGAAATTGTGTGTGATTAAACTCAGAGCTTTGGTTAGTGCTCAGTATTGTTCGATTCAGCCTAAAGCCTCGAACAGTTTGTTTTAGAATGTGCCGCTCGGAGGACTCCATTGTTCTACTTTAAAGTGTAAATGTGGAGAACAATGGAAAAATTAACGTATAAGTCTATCCGGACTGGAAATTTGCATGTGATGGTTGCTCGCTCCATTGACTTGTTTATATGTTTAGTCCGGACCATTTCAAAGACTCCATGATTTAAGGTTCTCAAATTATTCAAAGAACTATATAAATGGACAACTTTTTATCTGATAGTCTTCCTGTACAAAAAACTTGCGTTTTTGTAGCGTGCCTTGACAAAAACATATTTCAAATTAGGATGGGGTTAAATAAATACCGACGTTTGAACTCGCTTTATTGCCAAGTACAACAAAATCTATTAATCGACGTGGATTTGCGCAAGTTCCTTAGTCAACTGGAGCACATCGTCTTTTAGCTGCTAATTTGAGACACAACAGAGCTTAGACTGAAAATTCCGTGACATCATGACATCAATTAATTCAGTGATCAGCGGGGAGCGCCATTTGGAACTTCTAAGCACCATTAAGAATTGCTTTGAGTTTGTCTTACAGGATTATTCACAGAATTCAGCCCCGTTAGATTAAATCTCTTTATCATGAATAGTGTGCACTCTTTAGATGGACACAAAATTCAACTCCTAAATATGTATCTCAGCAAACTTTTTCAGTATGTTAACTCATGGTCATCATTAATGAGATGAACCTTTGTGAAGTCTTTGTGTGGTCAAGATAATGACATCAAAACTGTACAGGAAAGTAAGTCAAAAAGTGACTTTGTCAACATACTTATTGCAAGATGATTGGAAGTTATTATGATATTTCATAATGAATATATACATTTTTTAAAAAAACATCTGTTTTTTGCAGCTCGCACATGCCAAATGACACAAGATCATGCTCACACTGTAAAGGTGAGGTGTAGGAAGGAATTCATGAAAAATGATTTGACCTACAACTATGGAGAGATTGAGATTAAATTCTCTAGTTACATTTAGTTCCTAAATCTATTTTCTGGTTCTTGGAAATATCTGAATACCATTAGGGAGAGGTTTACTAGTGATTCCTAGGGATTTAACATTTTAAAAAGAGCCCTAAAACAGTGTGTAAAGCAAAAATGGAATTTCGGGAGAAATGCATGGGGTTAAAAGAAACCTCTTTAAGGGAGGCACATATGGCCATAAACTTTTATTGTGATCTTCTTTGGAATGTACCTGGACAATGTCAATAGAGCAATGCCATACAAATACCAGCTACTCTGTAACCCCAGAGGTAAACAAATGATGGAGGGGGAAATGAGGGATGGCCCTGTTTTAGATTTTGACTAAAGAAGCTCTGAGTCGATTGTTAATGAATTCTCCCCATCAATACCATAGAAAAATTACAGAGAGCAGTGTATAGAATATAATTTTATATAGTGATGTTTGGGTAGAAAGGGTTAAATTAAAGGCTCCTACACAAACTGAATAGTCTTTAATACTTAAAACAAAATTGAAAGCTTCTGCAAATCATACTTGGTACTTGATGCACCACTGTTATTATTTGTTTGTAAATTATTATCAAGTTAAGTGCAAAATTGATGGGGCATACATATTCTTGAAAGGATCTTGAACCCTAAATTTCCCAAGATTTGGTAACTGTATGGAGAGATATCATGTCGATTACTTCTTGGTTGGCATAACTTGTGTGTCAGGTTTATAACCAAGTGGAGCACTTTTACATTCACTCTTTTATTTTTTCATCAGCTCCAGTGTTTGACAAGCCCCTGCAGAATAGGACTGTAGTTGAAGGAAAAAGGGTGCAGTTGAAATGTTATGTACGTGGCACTCCCAGACCAGTTGTTACATGGTACAGAAATGGTGAAGCAATAAGCAACAAAAGCGGTTCATATTCCTTCTCTGAAAGGTACATATGACAAATTGTTCTCTCTTTCACTTATTATCACCAACTTCATTACACTCATCCACAGGATGAAGGAAGTATCACAGGCTAGAAACTGATTTAATGAATTCATGTTATGGTTACATATAACAATTGAGTTTTAGTTTCTATCTGTAAATGTTCTTCCTTGTAATATGGTTGGTTACAACACTTTTGCCTGAAAAAAATGTCAGGTAATGAAGTCATTTTCTGGTTGAATTTACTTAATGTAAGTCAGTGTTTTTCTCATAGTTTTTTTCTAATCCATTAGTATTATTTGTAAGTAAAAGTGTGATGTTGGTAAGTTAGACTTCAACCTTTATCTATTAATAAAATCTATTTATTGCTGATTACAGAGGCGGAAGCTCTAGGCTAAAGATTCGTAAGGTAGAGTTAAGTGATGCTGGTTGGTACATCTGTGTGGCAAATAACTCAATTGGCACAGCACAGATAAAAGCATATCTCATGGTGAATAGTAAGAACCCAAAGTCAACTCCACACAAACCAACCTTAGGTGAGTGGCTGAAGAAATTTATGGGTCATTGTTATCTCTCTTAACCGATACAGCATGTTAAGAATTTCATGGTATCCCAAGGAGATAATTAAGTTCGCTTACGTGGCTGTTTCTTTAATAA